GGGGGCTGCAATGAACTCAATACAGTTAAAAAAAATCATTATTTACAAGAAGTATGTACAGAATATGTCACCTGTTGTAGTGTAGTGTAGTCAGGTTAGGGGTAGACACTGGACAGGTTGCTACCTCATTAGATGGGGTCAACACACAGAAAAAAGGAAACCACACACTATTGTATCCAGACTTAATCCAATCTTAGAATCACCAATAAATTACATCTAGGTTTTAAAATTAATTTAGTTAATCTAACGTGGATGGCGTTGGACTGTGGGAGGAGGTCAGAGTAACTCTCTGAGCAGAGAGAACATCCAAACTCTGCTCTTGCATAAGTCACATGTAGTAATTTTGATTAATATTAAATTCTTAATAATAAAGAAAGTTAGTATTATGCTTGTGTTTCACAGATTCTTTCACTGATCATTGGATGGAAATAAAAATGTGCTTTTAGAGCATTCCTGCTACTAGACAAGATTACATTGAGGATCCACACTGGATACATAAGCTTCTCAGTTTAAGAGCGTCTTACATCACAGTGACTTCATGGTTGTAGTCTGTAACCTTGAATGAGACATTGCTACACATGGAAATAAAATCATAAATACAGGCTGGAAAAAAACAAAACATTGAGAGAAATTCAGTATGGAATGACAGACTAATTCATTCATTTTCAACTACTCCTGGGAAACAAACTAAACTTATTGAATCTGGAAATTGTGTTTATTGTTTATTTTATATTATGAGGCTCAAATAATGAACAAGTTATTTCTTTATACCACTGTATTTGAAAGGAAACAGATTAATTTTTCTTTCTTTTGGTGAATCAAACCAATAACATTTCATAAACTCCATAAAACTGATTGAGTCCTGGGTTATTTCACATACACAAAGTTGCATATAATCCAGTATTGATATTTAAAATTTTTACAGTTGTTCAGTTGTTTATGCTCATCTTCTCCTCTTACCTCTGAACTGATTGTCTGTGTCTGTGTTCTTTCTCATTATTGCATAACGGACCTTATCTACAGCCTCAGTGCAGACATGTCAACATGTCAAGAGTACTCATTGCCTATTCCTTTTATCCTAACTGGAATAGTTAGGATAACTATTCCAGTTAGTTATCCTAACTAATTTGTACATATTCTGGACAACATTCTAATGTAACGAATGTCTGTTAGAGCCTAAGTGAGTCACTTTGTCTTAGTTTGATTTTCTCTCTATTCATACATTCATCCATTAATTCATACCTGTGTGGAGAGGTTGAATGACCGGAGTATAAATCCAAGCACACAGCCGGTCACTACCGCAAAGACCGAGAGTGTCAGCAGACCATTCCTCTTGCAGTAGTCCTTCACGTACGCCCTGACTTTCAGAGACACTATATTTTCTAATAACTTCTGCAGACATTCCATCCTGATTCAGGCTCAGTCTGTATCCCAGCAAATCCCCCCCACCCCCGTCGCTGGCAGCAGATATCCGAATCTCTTGATGAGTGAGAATTGTCGGTATGTATCTCTCGAGATCCACGGCAGAGGAGAGCAGGTGTACCTGAAGAAATGTGGGTCCTGTTTAACTCTGAGGAGCTCATCCAGTCTGAAGGAGGAAACGTTGACTGACTTGTTCCTGGTAAAGCAGTGTCTAAAAGGATTATCCCTATCCCATGCGAACAAAGTCTCCTTTAGAGACACTCAGGCTTATTAAAGAGGCTAAAGGTAAGCTCATTATGAGTTATTACTACCTGTGTCCAAGTCATCCCATTCACAAATGCACCTTCATGCACTTTGTCATCTGCAACTTAAGCTCTTGAGTGCATGTTTACTCACATGTATGTAATTAATTAGTTATATTGTACTTGCTGAGAAGCACAATGTAAGAATTACAGGAAGGTTTTATAAATTAATCGCAAGGTCTCTTTTAAATAATACAGCAAAGATTTCTACTCATGAAACTTTTTTATTAGACTGAGGAATGACCTGTCCTGGCAGGATTACCAGAGGGAAGGCCAAAGGCATGACGCCAGCATCAGCGCTCACTATTCAGCTATGACGTAAAACTGATTAACAGGTCTGGACATACACTGGGTAGCTTTAATGTCATGATTTGTCACTTAAACTAGTAAATAATACCATCTTGGTACAAAAAGAAGCTCAAATTAGTTTGTAGTTGATGGCATGAACTTTAACCCTGCAGGCTGTGAAGGAAAAGATGACCACTCTCACACTAGCATGGTTTACACACTACAATCTACACTGTTATTCAAGCAGAATTAAATTTATAGCTAGTGACACCAGATTGATCATATAAAGAATTTAAAGGAAAAATATAAAGTATTGTCTTATGCAGCGGGAAACTAGTGATCAATACAGCTGAGTACTCTGAGCTACCAGCTGTCTGTTGTAGTGTGCTGTTTGCATGCTGTTTTAATGCTTTTTGTTGATGTCTGCTAATCCTTTTAGTCCACACTGACCTGGAAAGAGATCCAAATTTGACACTGAGCATTCTAACAATGTCTTCCTACATTACCTTTAACCAGTCCAATAGCATTTAATCCTTGGACAATGCACGCAGTAAGATTAGTGGATGGAACAAACAGCAAACAAATATTTACTACTTATCTATTTATCTCTGCTTTTAAATCTTAATCCTCCAGCCAAAAGCCCCAAATTACTTTCAAATGCATCATACACTAACATTAACAAACAATAACTATTATTCTTATTAAAAATATAATTTTATTTAAATATTTACAGAACCATCAGTGCTAAAACCTCAGCGTGGGTGTAAAACCTCTTATAAGTGAAGCGAATAGGAAACCACCCCTAGTGTCTGTGTATGAATTTGTTGCTTTGTTAGCTGTCACCACTGTATCATCTAGAAACAATTTTATTTTATATATATATATATATATATTTATATATATTTCAGATGATCAGAATCAAATATTTAATTTAATGTATCTTTAAATAAGAAATGTATACTTAGTGAGGTTACTGCCAGCTCTGTGTTCAGGGGTCTGTGTCAGAGTTTCTTCCTCTTCAGCAGCTGCAGTCAGTTCCTGCTGTAACAGCTCAGTGTCTCTGCAGTCTGACTGAGGGAGGTTTTTGTACGGCTACAAATCACTGTGTGAACACATCAGCACTGTTTATTACATGGATACTCTTACAGTAGTAAACTGCTGCATCTTCAGCCTGAACTCCACTGATGGTCATAGAGAAGTCAGAGCTGCTTCCACTGCCATTAAATCGAGTTGGTGTTTCTGAATGTCTTATGCTCACATGTCGAATTAGGAGCTTTGTGGTCTGTCCAGATTTCTGTTGATACCAGTACATAGCATCATCACCATCATCAAATCTGTGAACAGCTTGGCTGGTCCTACAGGTCAGAGTGACAGTGGATCCAGGAGTAGATGTCAGTACTGGAGGTTGAGTCACAGTCACCTGACCGCTGCCTCCTGCAGACAGAAACAAATCATTCATTTATCAGCAGAAATCAATGAGAGAAAAAGCAGCACATCATGTTTGAAATGTTGCTGAGTGAATGAACCTGTAAAACAGCAGCAGGTCAGCGTCCAGATGAGGATGGTGATGAGAGTCATGGTGGTTGTGCTTTCTGCTGTGTTGACTGACAGATGTGAGTCCTGCAGTGTTGAAGTCACAAGACTATAAACCTTCTCAGTTCTCTGGAGGATCAGCTGATGATGCAAAGCCTCCTCTCTATGGAAATGATTTCTATGTTCTCAACACACTGAAGGCAACGTGAAACAACTGACGAAAATATTTACATTGGGATTGCAACTAAGGTGTCCATGGCTGCAAATGATACGTTTTATTTTGAGTGTGATTAGTATGAAATCTAAAGTATAGAAAATTGTGATTTTTTTTTTTTTACTTTACTTTAAATTTGCTTTGTTAGTAGTCAGTATTGAGAAGCATTTTGTTAGATGCTCTGTTACAAAGACAGTAATTGTTTCTATTTCCAGTTTGTAGATTGTCAAGATATTATCTTTATTTGTAGGAAAATTATTTTGTTCTTTTTAAAGCATTTTAGATTAAAACTAGCATAAATGTAGCCGTTTAGATTAAGTATTGGGGTAGCAGACATTTTCTAAGTGCTTAGATACTTGTTCTGAGTGCAGGCGGTTTTTGTGCGGCCACTTAGTGAGTTTGTATCACTGTGGTACACTTTTGGCGGAGGAACCAAACTCATCGTTAACTGTAAGTACCAAAAACTTTTACTTTGCAAAACATGTAGTATTAATAATACTACATATACTAATAATAATACTAATTAGTGAACTTTAGATTTTTGTATGTTGCTAATAATTAAGGTTAAACTGAAAAAATGCTGATGTCACAAAATGAGAAAAAAACTTATTCTTTCCAAGCTGCAGTTAAATTCATTGAATCAATGAACAATTATCTATTTTCATCATACTTTATATTTTTTAAAAATATTTAGAAAAGTCAAAATAAACTAATAAATTAAAAATGTAACACTGCAGAAGAGCAGCTGTAATATTTTAGCTCATTATTTCAATATCTGCTTATTTTTAGATTTAAAATGTGATCCGTAGTTTTGCCAAATTAAAAAAGTGATTTTTTTAGAGTAACTGCAGATCATCTTAGTGTTCATGGCTCATTAACTTTAAATGTAGTTTTAAAGGAAGTGAAAGAAACAGATGACAAAGATTTGACTGTTCACATGAGTGTTTCAGCTTGGTTCATTTATATGTAGGAACATTATCACAGAGATGAGTTATTCACTTTGAAGTATTATTCAATAGATATAGGAATAGATTACCATATAACTGCCTTTCAAAGTTTCTTCACCTTTTTGACTCTCTCCTCTCTCTGCGCTGTCTCCTCCAGTGGGTGTGTTGAGGCCCACCCTGACTGTCCTCCCTCCTTCTAAAGAGGAGGAGAAGAAAAGCAGTGCCACTCTGGTGTGTCTGGCCACTGGAGGGTTCCCCTCAGGTTGGAAGCTGGGCTGGAAGGTGGGGGGCTGTAGCCCATCTTCAGGGCTGTCAAACAGCCTGGAGGTCTTGGGGACAGATGGTCGTTACAGCTGGAGCAGCACCCTGAGCCTCTCTGCAGACCAGTGGAGGAAGGCGGGCTCAGTTAGCTGTGAGGCCAGTCTGAGTGGACAGAGCCCCATCACTCAAACCCTGGACCCTGACCAGTGCTCAGAGTAGAGCTTCAGCAACACTTCCTGTCTACAAATGATGTTTTCGAATCTACAGATCTCTGTTCCAGTGTGTCTGTAAAACTATGTTTGATCTTTCGAGAAATGTTCATATTCATGTTCTGCTTCTTGCCCACTATAATAAGCAGTGTTGGTCAAGTTACTTGAAAAAGTAATCAGTAACTAATTACTGATTACTTCCCCAAAAAAGTAATCCTGTTACTTTACTGATTACTTATTTTCAAAAGTAATTAAACTTAGTTACTTTTTAAAAACACATTTACAACCTGAATAGGTATAAAGCATGATAGATCTTTCAGCCCAATTCTACTTTTTCTGCATAATCCATCATACAAAATGTAATCAAATGGAAAAGTCTCTTTTTAAAACTTGTTTTATTAGTTTTAATCTTTTAACTTTATGCATCAAGCAAAAATTTAATTATATGCAACATTCTCTGACTGGAAGAAATTTGTTTAACATTTAAACCTATTTTCTGCACATTCCAGCACATAAAATAAAATTATTTTTTGTGTTTACACTCAGTCTTTCAAATAGATGCAAGTAAAACACAGCAGAAAATAAATAAAGTCAAAGACTAGCGGTCCTGTTGCTCTATTTTCACCTGTAAAGCAGGACTGGGTAGGCGGAGGTTTACCCTGGTGCAGGTGTGCCCGCGGTCAGTGGAAGAATCCGCGAGTTTCTCTGTGATTTCCCATTATGTCGTTGCGCACTCGGTGCTTGCTTGGAAGTTTAGGGGTTTTTTTCGCTGTAAAAAGAAGTTTTCTTCCCACGCACGACGGACACTAATGTTTTTGTCACTTTTTATGGAATCAAACTCATAACAGACTCACGCTTTAAACGCTGCAGACTCATACTCTCTCCCAGCATCGATATGTGTATCCATTGTTGATCTGCACACAGCTGTTGTCACTAACGGCGCACTCGCTTACGTCACTGTCATGAGACATTCTCGCAAAAAAATCACATCCCTCCCAACTCGTCACATCATCCAATGTTGTATCCACATCTTCATATTGAATTAATCCATCACCTCACAGGATGCTACTCAGGATTGATTGAATCATTGAGTGTCAAGCTTACCTCGACTCCCAACAAAAGCAACCTGCGAGTGCATTTTTGCGTATTGGTGACCAAACGTCGATTGGTACACCATTACTGCATCAGCATACAAACTCGCATGAGGTCTAATCGTTTCAATTCTGCTGTGGAATGTTGTCGCCTCCATTAAAGGCCTGTGCGATTGTGATATTCCGTGGACACTGGTAACGCTTACATATACGCGGTCAAACTCCCGAACTCGACTAATGGTGACAGCCCGGAGTGCTGGCTAGCAAACTGGATTTCACTGCCTTCTGTCTCTAACCGTAAACCATGATTCATCCGGTGAACGACACTCTCCAACTGCCAAACCCACGAATTGAACATACTTGCCCACATTCTTTACGGGCGAAAATTGAAGTCAATCAAGACCCGATAGACCACGATGGGAATTCGTCCTGGACGTTTCTGGACAGTTTGGTGGCAGAATTTTGTTTGGAAACATTTCAGCAGCTGTTGGGGGTTTCCACGATCTTGAGAGTGACCTGCTGATGGGTGTCCTGTGTTGTTACACAGGTCTCTTTAGGGGGCTGGACTATGCTCCCTTCTCTAACGCTGTGAAAGGTTATGGTTGAAATACATTCCAAGCCAGAGACGCAACTAATCTGGTACATTCTGCTGTCAGCATGCCAATGCAGCCTCCTCATGCTTCATTAGCATGCTTTTCTGGTGAGAACAAACGCACTCCAGTTGCCTTTTGTTTGGCAGTCTAAGGAACCTGTCACTAATGATTCGCTCGATCTGCGCACACTAGTGGAATTCCATAGCAGATGGCCCCTACCAACATGGATAATTTATTCCACTGTTTGAAGATGTTTATTGTTTATCTGTAAGAATTTAGTCCTCTACATCCATCCCATGGCAATGGGACAATAAACAAACTAGCTTTTTATATTTGTTCATTGATTATGATCCATTGTTGATCTGAAAATTATGGGGATGTAATATTTTTTTCTATCAATGCATCCATCGCAGCAGCCATGTTTTAGAAAAGATAAAATTAAATGATATACATTTTTATGTTAAAACTTCTTATTATAAACTTTTAGTTTGTGTATGTGTTTGATGACTCTATTGTTGTGTTCAGTGGACTGGTTATTCTCATCACAGTCTCTTCACTGCACTCTGCACCTGCAGCCTTCACTCAGACTGAAGGAGGTTTTTGTGCAGCTCTAAATCACTGTGCGCATACTCCACCAGTATGCACACCCATACAGTAATAATCTCCAGCATCTTCAGCCTGAAACCCACTGATGGTTAAAGTGTACTGAGAACCAGATCTACTGCCACTGAATCGAGACGGAGTTCCTGAGGAGCGAGTTGATGCTTGATATATAAGAAGTTTGGGAGGCTGTCCAGGTTTCTGAAGGTACCAACTGAGATCAGCACCAATATCTGAACTTCCTGTGGCGCTGATGGTCACAGTCCCACCAAGACTGACAGGTTTGGATTTATCAGCCTGAGTAAGAAATTTATTGGCCAAGGAATCTGAAATGATAAACAAAATTAAATCTGATTTAAAAAAAACCTTGATAATCACCAGCGAAGATTACGATAAAACTAAAACATTTAAATGAAAAAGTTAATAAATGTTTAGAAATTCTCACCTTGCATTAGAAAACCCAACACGAGTGTCAGAGTTGCTATCAACATCATCTTGATGCAGTTTTCAGTGTGAGTGCATGAAAACAGTTCAGACTCTCATTGAAAGGAGAACTTAAACTCCAAAGATCAGTGATGCATAAAATCATGCAAAATGCATTTGGGCACATCTGTCCCTGTGAAACTGAGAGAGGGGGGAGTAAGATAACTCTGCATATCCCTGTGGACTGAATATGCAGAAATGTGACTTCCCACTTCCGTGCCTGTGGCTTTCTTATCTTTGCAAGATTACCCAAGGAAGCCAAGGAAGGTCTTTTTAACCATAGATAGTCGCAGACTGCCCTCTGCTGACAATCCAAATTCACAACAACTCTTGGTAAATGTCCATGATCATGTGTATCAGTTAATCTTGGTGCTTCATCTGTGACGTTAGAAACACTGCATAGACCAAGATTGTATCGCAACAACAGTGTTCCAAGCTTTAAATGTTCATGTATGAGTTTTCAGTGGCTCCTAGATTACCATTAGTCATTAATATCATGTCAAAATCCCAGTATTACATCTCATTCTATAAACCAAATTTAATGAGTCAAGAAACTGGTTGGTAAAACCTTTCTGCAAAACTCTGAACATCTTCTCTTGCAGCCAAACACATTTTTTGTAGTTTTCCCATTGTGATGTATAATGATAACCACTGAAGGCAGAATTTCAACACAGCTTATCAATCATTATTGATAACCATTATTTCTTGAACAAACATCTCTAAAATTGTTGCATTTTGTTGCTACTGATGTGATGAAACTAATGTGAGTGAGTTCAGAGTAAAGGCAAATCTGAGCTGAAGGTGGATCCAGAAATAGATGGAAACCATTTGAAAGAAATGATGAAGATGAAGACGGAGACAAAGATCAGGAACAGCAATTTCAAATGAAATTTTTGTAACCATGTTGGACTATATTTTTGCACATGCAATGAAAACCCATATGAACAGAATTCAAAAAAGCACTGGCCATTTTATTAAGTACACTGGATGCCACAGCATAACACAAATCTCTCAAGACACAATGATGGCAGCTACTCACTGTATTTAGGCACGTAGTCGTGTTCAAGATGATCTGCTGAACTTCAAACTGAGCAGCAGTTAAATCAGGTGATTTAAGTGACTTTGAATTTGACACAGTTGTTTGTGCCAGCTGATTGTTCTGTTTCCCACAAAGAAATTTCTAGGGTTTACAGACAATCATCTTATGATCTGAAAAAGAGAAAATGCCCAAGGAAGGCAGTATCAATGTGTTTGTTTTCTTTATTTGCATGTTTTTTGGGAGTTTTTTGATACCAGAGTTCAAAGGAGAATAGGATAGGAAAGCAACAATAATTCAAATAATCATTCATTACAACTAAGTAATGCGGAAGCGATCCTTCAAACCTTGAACCAGATAGACTGCAGCGGTGGAAGGCCACACAGGATGCATCTCCTGTCAGGTAAGAACAGGAAACAAACTATAATTCACCAAAACTAAACAAAATAGGATTGGAAAATGTTTGCTGGTATAATAAGTCTCGATTTCTCCTGTGATATTCGGATAGTTTGGTCAGAATTTGACATACACACATGAAAGCACAGATCCACACTGGCTTGTATCAACAGTTCAACCAGTGCCAGTGATGTACAATAATGATACGAGTGATATTTTCTTGGCATATGTTGGTCCCCACATCTTTATTATTTTTGTAGAACTGAAACAAGCAGAGTTCGGAAAGACCTGTGTTACAATTTGTGAAAACTGTTCTTTTATTTACATTTTGTGAAGTATTTGAAATGGTGTGTAATGAATCTGTTATTATTTTTGGCTGGTTATTTGTATTATCTAATGACTGTTTTACAGTTTCTCACTTAAAGCAGTTCTCAAAAGTGTAATGCAGATTTTTAAGCTCCTCATTCAAATTTCCTCTTCAGTCACATCCCAAAGTTGCTCTACTCGACTGAGATGTGATGACTGAAGGTATCATGAAGTACTGTGTGCCAGGCAGTGGACCCAAATGCAGGACTCGCCCGACAGACTTTATTAGCTGGCAAATGGCAGACTTAATAAAGAGCTAGGTCTTCTGCTGCTGTAGCCCATCTGTGCCATGTGCGTTCATAGGTCTTCTTTTGCATACCTTGTTTGTAACAAATGCCTATTTGAGGTGCTGTTGCCTTCCTATCAGGTCAAGGTACTCATTCTCCAATGACCATGAGATGAACAAGGTATTTTCACCCGTTACCGCTCACTGACACTTTCTGTTTTTCAGACCATTCTCTGTATTGGATTAACGAGCAGTTTAGAAAGATCTGAGTTATATGTCCTGAACAATATTTGTTTTGTACTTTGGTTGTTTGCTGTAAGGTTTTGTCTACTCAGATTGCTGTGACTCACCTTGTAAACACACAGAAATCCATGGGTGAGGTGGTTTTTGTTACACAAATGTAAAGCTGCGAGGCTGCAGGCAGTGGCTACTTCCACTGTTACAATAATTATTTTCTTTTATAAAAAACACGACTGGTTTTATTATATAAAAGTTTCAAACGCTTTTTAAAAGTTTACTTTGCTGCAACAGCTTATTGCAGGTTTTTAATATATCCTGGTTGCCAACATTGAAATCACAAGATTTCAATGTTGCACAAACACCCTTTTTTCTAAGAATCAAGACCTGCCTAGACAAGTACACTCTACATACAACTTTTATTGTCATAAGCTACTGGAATCAAGAGTCAACACTTAGATATTAAAGTTGTTCTCAATCACTTTGGTGTAATTCTCACATCAGGAGCATCACTCTTACTGTTCTTAATGCAGTTTTGAAAACCGTTAAGGCATTTTAACCGACTCATCCTTGCAAAAGGCTAGTACATCACTTCATCTCTGTGATTACTGAATAAAAACCTTGAAATGACACAATTATGCAACTATATGCATCAGAAAACACACAAAAAAAATATACAAACTGAGAACATAGCACCAATTACTGTGTAGTCCAGTAAAGTCATGCTAGCAAGATTCAGCAACCACTTTATTAGGTACAACAGAGTACTTCGAGCCGAGAGGGAAACAGTGACCACTTGTTATAAACAAGGTATGCAAAAGAGCATCTCTGAACTAAAAACACATCAGACCTTGATGCAGATGGGCTACAGCGTTAGATGACTACACTGGGTGTCACTCCTCTCAGCTAAGAACTTTAAACTGAGGCTACATTTTTCACAGAAATTGCGCAGTAGGAGACTGGGCGGGGGGCTGTATTCAAATGACCTCCCCAATCACCAGATCTCAGTCCAGAAGAGCACCTTTGCCACGTGGTCAAAGTTTGAATGAAAACGTGAGCGCAACTGTGTGATGTTATGCCAATATGAAGAAAAATCTCTAAGGAATGTTTCCAGCACCTTTTTGAATCTAATTCACAAAGAATTAAGGCAATGCTGAAGGCAAAAGGCGGTCCAGCCCAGCATTACCAAGATGTACCTAATAAATTGTTTGAAGAGTGCACATCTATGTAATATATGCTTATGTGTAATTAACATTCCTTTAATGTGCACTGGTGACACAAGAGTATGTGTTTCTTTTTGTTTCAATAAAACCTCTTCTGAGAAAATGTGTTTGTATTAGCTTTCAGTTGAAGGGCAACTTCACTGCTACCACTGACAGTGACTGGCCTTACTCTTTCTTACATTGCAAGAACTTTTTATACATGTATACAGCGTTTTAGTATATTCTGGTTAGCAACAGAGAGACGTTTTCTGATAGAAATGTAAACACTTCATGCAGATTTCCCAGGTTTTTCTTAAAAATTCTTACCTGGACAAGTGTACTGTCCAAACAACAGTTAAAGTCATAGGCCGCTACGATCGAGAATTAGCACGTTTATTAGCAGTGTTGGGGAGTAACGGAATACATGTATCGCCGTTACGTATTTAAAATACAAAATATGAGTAACTGTATTCCGTTACAGTTACCGTTTAAAAAGGTGGTATTTAGAATACAGTTACTTTGTTGAAATAAATGGATTACACAGCGGTATTTTTCCTGTTTCATATTGTGGCGGGTCAGGACTATTTGGGTTTTGTTTGACAGCTGTGATCTTCTGTTGTTCCAGGAGGCAGCGTTACGGTTACCATGGTTACAGGGTGACGCTTGCCCTCTCTGCGACTGTGTGTTTCCTGGGTGAGAGAGGCCTTTTTGTTGTTGTTGTTGTTGTTGTTGTGCTAAGCTAATAGGCAGAATGCTACAGGCATAGCCCTAAAGAATGTGGGCAGTGTAGTCCGTGCTGCAGGGAGAATGGACTGCCATACCCGTTATGTGTCTGTGAGAAAAAGGAGAGTGGAAAAGTAAAGCTGTCATTGAGCAGAAACGGGAGCTGGAACCATGTAAATATAATAATAACCACTGCAGCCAAAAAGAGTGCCTGACGAGCCCAGTTGTAAGTAAGCTATTAAGACTGGACTGTACACCGTGTTTGTGTTTTCCTCCGAAACAATAAGTTCCGTTGCAGCAGCCTTTCAACGCCTCTCTCTGTCTCTCGCTAGCAAAGTTGACCCAGACAACAAGGTAAAGCTAGTTTTCAGCTATGAGCCGGACACAAACCTGACATGAACCTGTTATCTGGGTGGCTAATCAGAGGTCCCTTTACTACGGTTCGGAGCTGCGGACCTTCAGTAATAGTAATAAATCACACAGCAATAGTACAGTCATGTAGTTGTAAAAAGCATGATAATATATTAAGTTACTCATTGAGTAACGTAACGGAATACGTTACAAAATACATTTTGGGGCATGTATTTTGTAATCTGTAGTGGAATACATTTTAAAAGTAACCTTCCCAACACTGTTTATTAGTGTGCATGGATACACACTGATAAAACTTAGTAAACAGTCAAGCCTTGTAAGTCAAATATTAAATTCATCCGGTGTAACTGCAGAAGTGGATGTGTGGGGAAATTAAAGCATTTTAAGGATGATAGCGGCCCAACAGACTTTTTTTTTTATTAGTAAAATTAACATTTAAACAAAATGCACCATATATTACACATTCAGAGAATAAACATTCCTTACATATTAGCAACTTTCATACATAGGAAAAAGAAAATATA